AAGAAAAGGTGCTCAAATGTCCCCAAAATTCTTTGAGCAGATCAGGAGGGCCCTAGCTACTTTGGTTAAAGAAAACTCTGAGACAAATGTTGGAAAGGGAACTTTCCCTCTGGATTAGTGGGCTACCACAGGAGCCATGGCTGGCAGACTGGATGGATGGAAGGGGTTGGTCCTTCTAGGGTGCTGGGGCACCAGGGAGTTTTTGTTTGTTTTGTTCTCTGCTTTAACCTCAGCATGCACAACAGGGCTTGGCATACAATAGGTAGTCAATATTTGCGGAATGAATAATGAATGACAACTAGAGGGAGTGAGGGAGAAGCAATTAGCTGGCATAAAGATGTTTGAACAAGGTGGCAGAGTGGTGAAGTAGGAAGAGGGCCACAACTTGGGGCAGGGACTCCAGGAAGGCCAACAAAAGACACTGGAGAAGGAGCTGGCTTCAAAGCAAAGTGACTTATTTGCCTACAAGAATGATCTGATAGACTCACTATATCACCTAGCAATTACACTTCTAGCTATTTTCCCCGAAGAAATGAAAACATTATCTCCTTGCAGAAACTTGTATGTGAGTGTTCATAGCAGCATCATGTATAATAGTCAAAAAGTAGAAATAGGCCAAATGTCTCTCAGCTGATGAATAAACAAATTAAATGTGGCTTATCTATACAATGGAATAATATTAGCTGGCAATCAGAAAGGGAGGAAGTACTGGTCAGGCTACAATAGGAGTGAACCATGACAACATGCTAAGCAACAGAAGCCAGTCACAAAGGCCATGCATTATATGACACCATTCATATGAGATGTCCAGAATAAGGATTAGTGGGCGCCAGGGCTGGGGGAGGGGCTGGAGGAAAATGGAGGGCTGACTGCCAAGGGACGAAGGGTTTCTTTTGGGGGTGATAAAAATCTTCTAAAATTGATTGTGATGATGGTTGTATAACTCTCGGGATATCCTAAAAACCAGTGAGTTGGACGATTTACATATATGCATTGTGTGATATGTGAATCATTTCTCAATCCAGCTATGATTTACAAAGTAAGGATGGCATGGCTTTTCCAGGGGCACGAAGCAAGAATCAAGGCAGCCCAGGCCCATCCTGTGTCATGTCCCTGAGCCCCAGGGAAGTTGTTCTTCTCACTTCCACCTTTGAAGCCAGGGGAGGGGCGCTGCCAGTGGGTGCCAAGGGCCCTGGCTTCAGAGGACCCCCACCCATCCTCAGGGCCAGCTGAGGGTGAACTTCTGCTGAGTTCTGGAATTGAGGAGGGCTGTGGAAGTGATTTTCTTTCCCATAAAGAGGGGAACTTGTGGCCTCCTGGTAGGAGGTGGTGTTTGGGTGGGGGTTGGAGGAAAGAATGGCACAGGGCAAGAGAGAATGAAGTAAATTCAGTAATTTCACATGATTCTGAGCATTCACTATGCATCTTGCTCTGTTAAACGTGAAGTGGTTGGGAAGCAATGACGTGTAAGGATGTCTCGGCCTGGACAAGCTTGCCAGGACCGAGGGAGACACCTGTGGGAGAGAACCGCCGGATGCAGTGCTAAAGAGGTATGGACAGTGTCCACAAAGACGGGACAGGACGTGTTTCCATTCCAGCAGGAAGCTGAGTGCCATTAACATGACCATTGTGAGTGTGGGCCTGGCCCTGAACAGGGCTGGAATCCATGAACCAGCACATCCTGTCTTAGGTTCCTGGAAGCCCTTAGTTCCAGGCTGGATGGATAGGAACCGTGGACAGAACTGCCATGGTGACAGGTGACACCTGACAGGTGTGTATTAGTGACTTTTCTGTCAGTGGGACAAAACACCTGTAACTTTAAGGAGAGGTTTCAGAGGCTTCTGTCCATGCTTGGTTGGCTCCAGCACAGAAATAGTATGCAGGAAGGGCCTAGAGGAGGAAAGCTGGCCACCCTACGGCAGCCAGGATGCAGACAGCAGGGAGGAAATGGGGACAAGAATACACCTTTCTAGGCCACTTCCTGGTAACCCACCCCTTTGAACTCAGGTCACACCTCCTAATAGCACATTCAGCTGTGAACTCATCAGTGATGAATCCACTCACGGGTACCCAATCATCTTCCAAAATCCCCACCTCTGAACACATGAGACTTTTGGGGGTCATTTTAGCCCTAAACCGTAACAGATGCTGAGGTTCGCTGGCCAGCCCACCAGTGCCAGTGGAACTGGCAAAGGAGCTGAACTATTGCACATTCATGGCACAGCTTCTATTTCTCATTGTAAGTCTATATTGTTTCTAGTCCACTAGGGATTGTGTAAGGATTTATAGGCTACAAACAACCCATCCATTGGAAAATGTGTTTCAAACTCTAAGTCAACCAGCATTTGGAACACAGCTCCTTTGCTACAGTATTAGACACTTGCAGCAGCTGCCCCCAGGGAAGTCCTTCATATACTTCAAGGGCCTGGATCCAACAGGACTCAGAGGTGTCCCAGGTCCTTCATGGAAGCTGGAGGAGGGCCTGGCCCAAAGATTCTTGCCCTGCCTGCGAGCTGCCCTGTCCATGCCAGCCGGCTGAGAAACCAGTGGAACTGTGACACTCGGCAGGGAATGAGGGCTCGGGGCCTCTGGGTCCCCCTCAGCCTCTGTGGTTCCGAGGCCCCTTTGCCAGGACCACATGATTTCAGTAGGCAACGGGCGCTGACGAATGTTCCACAGCCCATGGCAGTGGCAGAAACAACCTGGAGGCTGGAAACAGGAGTTGTAATTACAGGGGAAACCATAACACATTTTCAAAGATGAGCCTTCTGCTCCCCGGAGTCAGGACAGGGAGGAAGGGGAGACTCTCACAATTCTGTGCAAACAGGGCAACATGAGAAACACTGCGTAGTTAGGCTGAAAATTAAACAGATGTGAGTTTCTTTAATTCAAAGGCTTAATTATTCTGATGTTTTCCATAACTTAATCTGGGCCACCACTTCAGCTTTAATTATGCATAATGAACTGGATTATTTACAGTAACTAATACGACAGGAAAAACCGAGGGGTGAGAATCGGTAACTTGGCAACTGTTGTGTATTCCTCTTGATTCAGCTCGTGCACAGTGGTGACTCCCTACTGAGTTCCAGCCCTTGCACTGTCCTGGGGGTGCCCACCAGGAAAACATGGTGCTGTTGGGGGATATGCTGTGTGCAGTCCCTGCCACCTCATTATCTCCTGCACTGCTTGCAGTACTACCACATGCAGGCCTTATTTTCCCTGATTTATAGAGGAGGATGGAACCAAGAGTCTGAGAGGTTGCGTCATTTGCCTAAGGGCACACAGCAAACCTGTGTGGTTTTACCATCTACCTACTTCAGACGGAAGCATAGACTCTGGTTCCAAATCTTACTGACCTACCTGCTTTGTACAGCAGAAGTCAACTTTCCCTACAGGAAAGGCTCTTTGTTATTGTAAGCAGGAAAGTGGGCGATCAAGGTTGTACTTTGGGAAACTGCCTGGCGGTTCCATAGGATGCTTCGGAGGCTGTGGAGAGAGGCCAGGTCAGGCGCAAAGACCTCAAGCCGGGGTGGTAGTGGCAAAACCAGGGAAAGGAGCAGTAGGAGGCACCTTGGAGGCTGGAAGGGGCCGAGCGTTTGGACTTCGGTTGTGGCTGCAGAGGATGAGGGCAAATTCGATGCCCTCCTTTGGATCAGGCAGCTCTGACCAGGAGCTCCACCCATGCCAAGTCACCCATTCTCTGGGCCTCAGTTTCCCGTGCCTAGGAGGGGTTATAGGAGCTTACTTAGCAGCCTCACCAGTGGATGGAAGCACAAATGGTTTTACTCTTCCTCTTTCACTGTTATCTCTTAAATATCTCCCTTTCAGGTCACTTGTTATTCTTAGTCCAGCACTGTTTAAAGCTTCCACCCCTAACCCCACTGAAACCCCCTCTCCTGCCACTCCCTGGCCCCCAGGCTGGCACAGTGGGGAGGGGGACCCTGAGGGTGTGGCATGGGGTATAGCCCAGTTCCCAGCTGCCTCCTCTTTCTTTACCCTGGATTGGAAGGAGGAAGAGGATAAAAGGCAGGGGCAGCGACTTAGCAGCTCTGTTGTTGTGTCTCTGTCACTTGTGCGGCTGCCCTGACTCTCACTGACTGACCGGCAGGCGCCGTGCGCAGCTGCTTTGGGGCAGGAGCACCTGTGGGGTCTGCCCCCTGCTCACGACCCTCATGGGAAGCTCCGGCTCAGCAGCCCCACAGTCCAGTCCTGCCACCAGACTTGGGCCGCGGGGTATCCTGTTCCCATCTCCCCAACATGAGGAAGGGAGAGATTGTTCTCCACTGTGCCCACCACAGCTCCACATGAGGGGACAAGCAGCTTTCCTGCCATCACCCCTGGTCTGAGAAGAGGCTGGAGCCCAGCCAGTGTCGGCGTCGGCTCACTTGTCACCCCGTGTCCTGGCCCAGGACTGCATGGGCATAGCGGCATCATAAAGGACCATAACGGCCCTGTGGGACAGGCCACGCCACTCTCCAGCCGGCAGAAGCCTCACAGTCTTCATCCACATACTGCTTGGGGGCCTGGAGGGGCCCTGCTGACAGATGGGGTCAAAGGGCAGTACCCACCACCACTTTCCGCCTCCAGGGGCCATCTGGTCCCAACTCTTAGGTCCTCTCTTAGGACAAGCTCCAGTTAGTTCCCAAGTTTGATGGTACTTATCAATTCAATTCAACCCCACATGTGGTAATGATGAGTCTAGTTACAGGACTACTATGACCACAAGGGACAATGCATGGGTACGTTTAGCTTTTCACAGTCTTCTCAGTGTCTCTCCTCTTTCTCTGCTCTTGTGGCTTCTCTTCAGGAGCTCTCTGTGGAGACACACAGTGGATGAGGACCTCTAAGATGGATGGTGGGTTGACCAGGACTGGTGGGCCGGTCTCTTGGGTATCATGTGGTCGCAGAAGCAGGTGATCAAAGAACAAATAGTCTGGTGCTGTTTAGAGTCTCCCATAGTTACTACTGAAGCCTCTGTTTCCTTCTCATGTGACAACAAAGCCAGGAAGGGAACACAGCAGTGCCTGGAATAAACTCTGAGTCTGAGCTGGATTCAAGCCCTGGGGAAATGGGCTGAAGCCCACACAGGCTTGAGCCACCAACTATGCAGGAAGTAGTCATCCTGCTGCTGCTCCTGGAGGCCATGTCAGGTAGGAGCTCCTCTTGGCTTTGCAACCTGACTTGGCCTAACTCCTTTGCAGGTTTCCATCATATGATAAAATCCTCAAAGAGGAGGTTGCCTCTGGAGGCCTCTTTCCACTGCAGATTTACCTGCGAGGATGGATGAATTAGAGCACCTCCAGAGAGGCCTGGGGGCTGGGCTGGGGGTGTCCTGGACAGGAGAGATGCTGAGAGTGCCACCAGGGAGTCTGCGCTAGCACGTCACCCTTGCTCTTGTGTTACTGGCCTGTGCTGGAAGTCCTGGGACCGGAGGTTGGGGGAATGATTTCCATGGCAGAACTGTGTGTGGAGTCTTTGTGGAGATGATGTTTCCTCTCTGGGGACTTGTGGGGACAACTGGAGGTGGGCTGGGGGATCGTCTTCAAATGGAGCAAAGAACATGTCTTCTAATAGCAGGGCCCAAGAAGCAATGCAGGGCTTCTTTCTCTCCGTCTTTCTCATTCAAGAGCTTGAAGAATCTTGGGTGATCTTTTAAATGCTGTCAGCTTGGCTTATTGAAACTGAGCCTTTTAAATTAAATTTTATTTTTTGACTAGGTAGTATGTGCATAATGTATGGAATTCAATCATGTTAATTTGCAGATTAATTTAGGGATAATTTACATCTTTGATGGGTTGTGTAGGAAAATACTTAGAGGAGTGTCTGGAACATAGTAAATGTTAGTGGTTATTATTTATAATGTTGAGTCTTCCTACTTAAAGAACAGCATGCTAGATACAGTACTTGTTCAAGTCTTTATGTATTTTCCTCAGGAGTATTTTAAGGTTTCCTTCATATAGATATTGCACATTCTGATCATGGTGATTTCTAGTTCTTTCTTTTCTTTTTTTATATTTGTAAGTGGAATCTTTTCTTCCCTTATACCTTTAACTTACTTTTGTATGACATATGGAAGTCTGTTAATGAATTATTTTAATTTATGATGTTTTTCTTGTTGATTCTCATGCTTTTTCCAGATTTGAAAAGAATGAATATTTATATTCTTCCTTTCTCTCATCTAAATGCCAGATCTGTGTCTCCAGATCATCTAAATAATGATAGGAGTGTTCATTCCTGTCTGATTCCCCGGTAAGCATGATGCTACCTTTGGGGGTGAGATAGAAATGTTTCATATGTTAAGGAGAAAGCTTTTATTATTTTATTTAGAGTGTTCTAAATCAAATGGATTTTTAAGTCAAATGCTTTTCAAGATTGGTGGGCATGACAATTTGGCTTTCCTCTTTCATTTCCTAAGAAGAAAAATCAACAACTGGCTTTCCTATATCAAGCCCTTCCTCATCTTAGGCTTTTAGACTCTGCAGAGGCAGGAGGACCTGGGAATGGCAAGCAGGCCTTGCCCCGTCCAGACTCTTACTTAAAGTAAACATTTGCATTTTCCCCAGAAATATAGGCTTGAAGGGCCATGATCATTTGGGTTAGAAGGTGACATTTATTGCCACTGGGGGGAAAGTAAGAGGAGGAAGATCTCAGTGTCTCGGACTTGAACACTGTCATCTGGAACTTTATTACCAGTTGTGTGAAAGGGACGGATTACAAAGATTTGCAACAGATACTTGAAATTTCTTCTAAATAAGTGCGTTGGAATCCCTCCTTCCCCAAAAGACCACACGCTTGACCCTGCTTTTGTTTCCACGGGTCAATCCTAGTTTTTAGAAGAGCTACTGTGACGCAGTTTCTTTTTCCTCTTTTGTGGGTCTGAGAACCTGATTGTGACCCTCTGCCACCCAGGTTGGCGAGGGTGCCGAGCGGAAGGCAGACACACACGCCAGTGCCTACTTTCTGCATGTTGGAAGTGGACATCGCCATTAACTGTCTCAAACAGAGCCACACACTCAGCCTTCTTTTCATCAGTGCCTGTGCTTCCTTCAAGGCCCCTCTCAAGCCCCCTTCCTGGGGAGCCCTCCTGGCTTGCTCTTGGTGAGCCCTCCTGCAGCTCCTGTGAGCTTATTTTGCCTGCACTGGTATCATGGGGAAGCTGGGTCCTAACAGCCTGAGGAACTGGTGGCACTCCTTAGTTCTTTGTGTCTTCGAAGAAAGATGTCAGATAAGATGCATAGGTCATCGCAGGTCATCGTATGGAGTAAAGGTGGGGTTACTGCCGTGATAGATTTTCAGAGCAACCGAGAACATACCTTCAAGCTGAAGGCCAGCAAGCGCCAAGGTGGCTGTTGTGCCTAATAAGGCTCAGGCTGTATTTATATTATTACATGGGTCTTCAAAAAATATCATTTCCTTCCTCCAAGATCATTATTATCTTGTAAGGAAAATGGGCTCTTTCAACCAACTTCAGGGGGAAGAAGGTTCCTGTTTACTCCCTAGGTAGACTGCTGATAGCTAACTTTCTGCCTAACAGAGGTACTAGGTGCCAAGGGCTTGCTCAACAGAGGCAGCATGGGTTATCATTCTGTAAATCTCTTATATGTCTGTCCTTCTCTTCAACAAGGAAGTCAATCTTGTAACAGCAGGCTTTCTATCTCTTGTTGCTCTGTGGGCTGAATGCCACAAACATAGAGGGCATCCATAAGTATTTGTTGTTTTGGTTGACTATCATCTCATTAGAGTCTGGGAAGTGTATTTTTTCCCTTCTGCATTTACTGATTACACCCTCACCAAATGCACAGCTTTAGATTTTCTGCCTACTTCAGTTGACATTTAAATTAGTTTCTGTCTCTTTTATCTGCCATTAAGATGAGGGAAATGAAAGTGTCTCTTTAGGAAGCTAGTGCACCATTCTGGTAATGGCTCACAAAGGCCTCCAAAGAAAGTAACTAAAGAGAACCCTCAACTGACCTGTGGAAGAGAATGGAGAAAAAACTGTCTTCAGGCTCTGTCAGCACACACACAAAAAATACATAATTCCCAGCAGATGAACGACCTAGCATCCTAGCACAGGCCCCTCAGTATATTTAAATCCACAGCATACAGAAGCTGTCTGCATTTTAAGAAAGCCTCCAGAAAATTAGCTTTTGTATTATTCCCATGGAAATGACAGATTCCAGGGTGTTTAGTGAGAGAAGGGCTCTGTATTAGTCACTTTCCTGTTGCTGGGACAAAATACCAGACAATCGCAATGTAGAGGAGAGGTTTATTTTGACTCACAGTTTCAGTGGGTTTAGTCCTTGGTTGACCAGCTCAGTGGCAGAAACAGTATGGTGGATGGGCCCAGCAGAGGAAAACTGCTCACATCATGGTAGCCAGGAAGCAGAGAGAGAAGGGAGGATCCAGGGATAATAATATACTTTCCAGGTCACACTCCCAGTAACCTACCCCTGAACATGTGACTTTGGGGGGACATTTTAGATCTAAACCATAACATTCCACCTTTGGCCCCCAAAAGGCTCAAGTCCATCTCATTATGCAAAAGCTGTTAGTCTATCTCTGTGGGTCACCAAAGTCCTAACAGTTTCAGCACTGCTGAAATGTCCAAGTCCAAAGTCTCCTCTGAGACTCAAAGCAAACTCTTAGTTGTGAGGTCCTGTAACAGTCAAAAAGAAGATTAAACACTTCCAACATACAATAGCACAGGGTAAATTCCCCTATTCCAAGAAAAAAAAAATAGAGGACTACATAGAAATGGGACCAAAACAAGACCAAAAGCCTACAAGGCTAAATTAAATCCTATAGCTCTGTACCCAGCATGGTGAGTATATACCCAACACAGAACTAGTGCTCAACAGAGGTAGCATGGTTGCAGTGAATTGCAAGTTCTAAAGGGTTTGAGTGGCCTTCCCTTATGCGACTGCCAGTTTCAGTCCATGTGACCTCTCTCTTGAGCTAGCTCCACTCACTGCTTGTGGCTTTCCTTAGCAGACGTTTCCTGTTCCTGGCTTGTCCAACTTCCTGAAGCCTCCACTGTACCTTTAGCTTTACTCACACAACTTCACATACTGCTCTCTCAGGGGAACACTGTTTGACTTCTGAGGACTTCCTTTAAAATCTGAGTGGAAGTCTCTCTGACCCCATGATGCTTGCAGTTTGCATGTCTGAAAAACCAGCACCATGTGGATGACACTGAGGTCTGCCACCAGCATGAACAATATCCAGGCCCCCTTGGGCCATGGCTGCAGAGACTTTTGAGTACCTGGATGTCTGAGTATGGTAAAATGAATCCCAGAGAACCTATTCCATAGGCAACCCTTCTAGAGCAGGGGGCCAGGGGCTGTCTTCACAAATGAAAGGTTTACACTTTTGTAACCTTCAGCCTATGATTGGTAGGGTTTTGCTGATTTCTGAGATCCCCTCAAGGCATCTTTATTCTTGTTTTATAAAAGTACTTGGTTTCTTTTTAATGCTAATCTTTTCATCAATCATGCTCTCCTTTGTCTCAACTTTGTAGGTGATTCCTGTCTGGTGAAACTGTAAACACTTCATATCATTACACTCTGCTATTTGCTCTTAATTCTCACTGTAGATCCAGCTAAAAGCAGCCAATAGTATCCATGCCAAAGCCTGAACATTGGGCTGCCTTGGAATTTTCTCCACCAGATTAATTAGTCTGCTGCTCTTTTTTTTTTTTTTTTGAGACAGGATCCAGACTTGCTTCAAACTTGTGGTGATCCTTCTGCCTCACCCTCTGAAGTGCTCAGATTATAGATGTGTGCCACTATGGCTGGCTCTAGTCTGCTGCTCTTGTTCTCAGTCTCCCACAGAGTCTCAGGACATGGGAAAAATGTAGACAAATTTTCTACTAGAGTGTAATATACATGGCTTCTAGTCCAACTGCCAACATTATCCTTATTCCCAACTGAAACTTCTTGAGGCTGGCCTTTATTGTCTGTATTCTTACCAGCATTCTGGTGTTCTAAGATCTATCAGTATTTCTCATCAAGCACTGCTCACAATATTGTAGGGATTCTCTAGCTTGGATCTTCAAACCATTTCAAACTCCTGCTGCAAACCAGTTCCAAAAGATTCTGAATCACATGGTCAGGTATAGTCACAGCAATGGCACCACTGCTGGTATCAATTT